GATGGAGACCCTATGACACCTGCACCAACCGGTCTACTGATGAGCCAACTTGTCGCAATGAATGATGGACAAGCTGAGGATATGACAACATATAGTGAGAACGCTAAGGATCCAATGCGGGTGAAGCGGGTGTTGAAAGAACCTTGTTGCAAAAAACAATGCAAGGCACACCTGGGTTTCCGGCTGGTATTCCAGATGATTTGTTATTTTTGGGCCCTCTCCAAGACATCGCAAGACTGTGTACTTTGGGCCATACAACATGCAACTTCGAAGTTGAGTTCATTCGAAGATGATTCAGGGTCAGATCCTGAAAACTCTGCATCTTCCGCTTCAGAGCAAGCAAAGATCAAATGGTCAATTGAAGGCCAGGGTTTGTTCATTCAAACTCAAATAGGTATCAACATTGACTACTATACAAAGCCCACCTGGAACCCTTACCCGGCTTGGTGTCCTTGCATCAGCTCTGGAGGCATCCCAGTCTGCAGGCAGGCCTTCATCAAGCTCTTGGCAATCAGCCCAGCAAGGCTGGTGAGGACCCGCCGCTCTTACAGAGGTGTTGATGGACGAGGTTGGAGTTTCTTGGTTCCTATTATGAGTGATGTTGGTTTACCATGTATTGCAAGGATTTGTGTCGATCATCCCAAGACTTCTCAACGCAAAGGTTCTTTGGCCAATAGGTCATCCCCAGCTACTACATCAGTGCTTGCATTTCTAGAAAGAACCTACTGGAGCATTGGAGAGACATTGCCCCACGAGACTCTCAGACACAATGAACGTCAACGTTGTTGTTCAGTGCCCCCTTTGTATAGTGCCCCATCAATGTTAGTTCTGGACCAAATTACTACTACTGGACCCAAACAATCAGGCTTGATGTGAAAGACACTCGTGATCTGACTACAGAGAAAGCGAGGGAGCAATTGCTCCAAGCATTGATTGACACTGCATTGGAAAGCGATCTTGCAAGAGGCATGTTCAGATCTGGGCCAGAGGACTTACCCCGAAGGTGGCTGCCACATGGGGCATACTATGATCTCTTCACCCTGTATTGTGCCCACCAAGCCTCTGGAAACGAACCAGCTGCTTCAGCAAGTACTTTCTACAGGGTCCTGTCAGACTCGGGTTGGAAAAAGAAGCTCAAGTTTTCCCCTCCAAGTAGTCACTCCAAATGCTCAATATGTTCAAAGCTGAAGGCTCGGATACAGCATGCAAAGGGAATCCAAGAACAAACAAAGGCATCAGATCAGTTGTTAAGGCATTTAGCTGGCCAATTTGCAGATCGCAGTGTGTACCATACTTGCCGGTCGATTGCCAAGACCAACCCAGAAGAAATGATTTGCTTGATAACCGACAGTATGGACAAAAGCAAGTACGCCCTGCCTCGGTACCATAGAGGCATGGCACCAAAGGATCTGGCAGCGGCTGACAGACCATCGTTGGAAGTAACGACGTCGCTTGTACACGGCATTGGAGTCTTCACGTATTTGACTGACGAAAACCAAAATCATGGATCGAACTGGGTTTTGGAGACCATCAATCGATCGCTCCAACGTGTGCACTCGCACTATCAGCGTACTGGAAAGCCAGTTCCCCTGACTCTGAAGATATTCGCAGACAACACACCCAAAGCAACTTGTAATTGTTAGATGACATTTTGAACTCAAGGCGTTCTGTGTCTCTACTATTTAGTCACTTTCCTTTCAACAACTCCTGGCCTTTCGCAGCGTCTTGCCTTTCCACACAGGAAGTCAAGAACTCTATCTTTGGCGCCTGGTGCAGCGCTGTCACATGCAGCGGGTTCTTCAGGAAGGTGTCTCATGAGCACCTCCCTGTAGGACATACTCATGAGGACGTCGGCCCTTTGACTGCAGCATGGTTTGCCCCTTTGAGAGTTAGTGGGAATTTTGTGGGATGTGCCATGTGCCTCTAAGATGCCTATTTTGGTCTTCTCAGCCGGTTTGTTCGACAAGGAGATGAATCAGTGTACTGCTCCCAGGTTAGTATGGTTGAAACGTTTACTGTAATAATAACTGTCTTTGGTTGTCTAGGCAATGCCCTGAGGATGTGGTCCAGCCCCAACCTTAGCAACTGTTCCCAATACCCTGTGTCAAGCGAACCTCAGCATTGAGGCTTTTACTTCAGAAGGTGGGTCCGCTGTTTACCAAGAAGGGGCTGATCTTCCATGTGGAGTATGTGACTAGCGTCAGGAACTGGCAGGATTCCTTTCCAAAGGTGGCAACCTTGTACAATGCCTATCGGCGTCGGACGGTGAGGGACCAATCAGTAATCCCACACAGTTTTACATTTATCCGAAGGGAGTGCATCTCGACATTAATTCAACAGGTGTTCAATGTGAAGCTGGAAACCAAATGCAGTGAAGATAGGTATTTAGACTTGACTCTCAAAGCGCGAGCCAGGTATGCCTACATCACTGCTGGATGGTGCTGAAGAACGTCTCCCAAGTTGGTATGACAAGTCGCCTAGTGATTGCTTTTGTCTTGTGAAGGCATTTGTTTCTGACAATGACTTATCACAACCCCCACTACTTGTTCTACCTGGACACCACCAACAAAAGTACCTGGAAGCATTGCAAGCAATGGCATGTCCTACCGCCCAGTGCATCTTGCCTCTAATAAGAATTGTAGCTATGTAGTCACAGTCAGTCTGTGGGTTTTGTGGTCTTGGGGCATGCGCTTCAGGTAAGGAGGTTGCCACATCAGAGGAACGAGCTGAGCACCTGCAAGAACTGGCTGCCTATTTTGTTGATAACTACCCTCAGTATAGTCGGGGTGCGCACTACCTCCTTCAACTTGCAGGGAAGGTTGCTGTGCCAAGGGTCCGCCCCACCAAGTTGCAGTGGCTCTTGTCAGGGCCCGCACCAGGTGTCCAGAGAGGACACGCCCGTTTGGATGACCCTGAGCCGCACAACGTTCGGAGGCTCAGGGTCCAGTTTCATAGGTATTACTAGATCGGAAATGAGAAAACGGGGCCTCTTGAGATGTTTTGGTTTTTAGCATGCCAATAGAAAACAACTAGCGCAAGCTGAAACAACTCCAATTGTCTATCCTTGGATGCCAGTTCTGTTCTGGGATCAAAAGCTTGTCAACTAATTTTGCCATTTGATGGTGCCGCCCAAAGAAGAAATTGACAATGTTAAGGACTGCCCTGTGGTTTGGCCCAATGTCTTTTGAGTCTTTGATCTTAGCTAAACATGTGTTTTAATTATCACCCGGAGTGCAGGAAGAGCCTGCTCACTCTCTGGATGGTGCTGATGCTGGTCCAGGGAGTCCAGGCCTGAAAGCTCGGCTGATCCAGGCGATGGAAGAGGCGTGAACACCACATGAACAGATGCACTACCACGCACTACCGTATCTATATACATCCAGGTCCAATGAACAGTACTCACGACTCATCAGGTGACAGCCCGAGAGAACATGGGTAAGTTCATTGCCGAGAAGTACAACACTGATGAGGGTTCCCGTCGTCAGTTTGCCAAAGCTTAGGACTCAGGTTCACATACTACCCTGTGAGCAAAGCATGTTGTGTGTTTAAACTTATAACCATGAACTGGCCGTCTGAGGTGATGGCAGACTTCATGGCACTGCCTGAGGTGGCGAAGCGTGTGGCATCCAAGGGACCGCACGGGCCACAGGTATTGAACAACATCCCTGTGAGCACCAGAAAGAATGTCTATATCCACCCCTGGCATTTGGACATGTCAGAGGAGGCCAAATATGGTCAAGGTGGCAAGTGGCCATCGACTGTGGCTATCAGAGCACACTTTCCAGCAGTGGTTCAAAGGGGGTATGAGAGCGAAAAGGAAGCCATAGAGATCAAGTTCCCCTCTGACCTTCACATGACTGGAGGAACCCTTCCTATGTTCAGCATCCAATACATAGATGGACACGCCAAAGCCACCATGGTTCTTGCAGTCTTTGCCCTTTTGGACTATTTGGTTTCTTGTCTTGAATGTTTCTGTTGTAATGGGATGAAGCTGGACTTCAGGGTTGGGTTTATTCCTTCCACTGCCACTGCTGAGGGTGTGGCGCCTCATGAGATTGCTGGGGATGAAGAAATGGTGGACCTGATAGCTTCACTGAAGTTTCTTCGGGCAAACTACGTCCACTTCGATTCGCCAGAGCTTTGCATGTATGAAGCTCTCAGCCTTGAGCTTACCTCCTCCTTGTTTGATTGAATTTCTTAATGCTAGTGGACTTACTCATTGTTCTAGATTGGGCTCCCCAAGGTTTGGCCATTAGGACAAGCGAGAAGCAACGACCTGGCCCTCTCGAGCTCACCCTCCTGTTCAAGGCAATTCCTGTTCAAGGCATCAATGAGGTCCCAGCATTCCACCACTTTTGAAATCAGAAATCGGCAAGCCTGCAGGAAGCGGTGCGCGTCAAACGGCTTGGCAGCAAAAGGTCAGCTGTCCGGGATGTCCTGTTCACCGCCATTGCTGACTACAACCGGAGCTGCACTAACAAGGTAGGAAAAGCACTGATGTAGCAAAAACACTGGGGACCACTGTTCTTCAATGAAATATACAATCATGTGCCAAACCATTTGTTGGCCATCCATCAAACAGGCGTGGCGCATCAAGGAAGACTTGAGAAAGGTCATCTATGCAATCCTTCGATGCCCTGTGGAACTCCTCGAGTTGATGAAGGTAGCTGGGGACCTCTACAAATGGGAACATGGAGGTGGGGTTGAACAAAGTAAAGAATATACTACATGGTTTCGATCAGTCACTAATTTAACCTAATACTTGTTTGGCAACACCTTGGACCCTGGCAGCTTGGACAATGGAATCCCTCGCGGATGACTACTTCGTCCCTGGCCATATCCTTTGCGGCCCACAGGTCTTGGATCCATGGTGGCGAACAACCAAGGTGGGATGATGAAAGTGGAGCCTGGTTTGATTTGGTAAAACCTGTTGGTATACAACATGACACAAAACATGGAAACATGGAAAACCTTGGCAGACTGTGACGGCTGCTGCGACAATGCTTTGGGCCAAGCGTGTCTATGGCGACTTTGTCAAGAAGGCACCACATGATGCACCCATCAAGCAGAAGGACTTCAGGGCGCCAAAAACTCTTGGTATGTGTTAACTTTGTAACTTCAATGGTGGATGTGCACATGTTTTCAGTATATTATAGTGCTACAGTTCTTGTTAACTTTGCAACCTCAATGGTTGATGTGTAACAACTAGTTACTTTAACCAGTTCTTGTGGGTGAACACCCTGAGAAGCTGGCACAGCGCGATCCTGCTTCTATGAAGGATTTGATGGAGGTCTGCTGCCTTTGGGTGGCCATTCATGAGCCAATCAGGCTTCATATTGGCGATGGCGCTGGCTTTGAACAGCTTGATGACATGTTCATGGAGGGGACCCTTGGTGTGATCAGAAATCCTTTTGCACTTCACAAAAACGGCACTGGGAATCAAAACAGTGTACAAATGAGAAGATATTCCCAAGAGCAAATTATACAGTGAATTTTGAAAACCGCGGTACTCCCAAAAGGTGGAAAATATGACAGTGTATAATTTGCTGGACAAATTCAACTTCCATTTGTACACTGTAGCTCCAAAACCCAATTAATTATACAGTGAATTTTGAAAACCGCTGTATAAATCCCATGTTGACTTAACCTGTGATTTGTACATGGTTCTCAAGATAACACCGGACATGGAGATGGGCCCTGAGTACAGTGATTTTTGAAAAACACGGTATAGAATCCCGCCCGTCAAACCAAACCGCGGTATAGAATCCCGCCC